AAAATGGAATAATAAAAAAATATATCACATGTACCTGGAATCGCCCCACATCGGCTTGTAAAATAGGACATGGCTATACGGGTCTTGGAGTGAGTGGACCCGCTCAGGACGAAAGCCTTTAGACGGCGTTGGTAGAGCCAATATTTTGACGTCAAAGAGAGCCGTTAGTCGATGTTGGCGTTGGAGGATGCCGCTGTTAGTCAAGGGTCCACTGTTATTGTTGAAAGTGGTTTTTCTATTTTGGGTATTTCCGGTGGAAGAGGCCCAAACCATTTAAAAAAAAAATTCACCACACACACACACCACACACACACAAAACACCAACACCCCACACACACACACACACACACACACACACACACCACAACCCCACCCCCAAACACACACACACCCCAAGCGCGCGCGGCGCGCAGCTATCAACGGGCTTAGGTCAAATCGACATGTCCCGGGACCAAATGGTAATAACACACACACACCCCCACCACACACACACACACAAACACAACACCACACCCCACACACACACACCCACACCACACACCAACACACACACACACACACACCCTGGGTCTAACGACAGTCCCCTAGGACCAAAGGTAACTAACACACACACACTTACTTCTTACCCGAAAAGGGGTCCAAACGTAATACACGTTCTCTACCGAGGCCCCAAAATTTTTTTGAAAATTTTTTTTTTTTTTTTTTAAAGGAAAAAATGCTATGGTACCCAGGCACCCCAATTATTTTAATACCACACAGGAGTGCACACACCCATTCCTATGTCGGGGGGGATCAGGCTTATGTGGGCAAGTTAATGTATGACAAAAAAAATGTTTTTTTAAGTTTTTGGGCATAAGCGGTTAAAAACGTATATATACGTTTGGACCGTTTAGGGGTTTTTTAAATATGGCACTATTTTAAAAATGTTTTGCTAATACAGGGACCATCCGACTTTCGACCGGTTGGTTTGAGAATGGTCGTAATCGAACTTACTACTGAATATCAAATCACATTTTTGTAATGGGCTTTATTTTATTGTTTTATTTTAGTATTTTCATTTTTTTCTTTACTTTTTATGTTTAGTATGTATTTTATATGTAAGGGTTTTGGATAAACACTGTTACAACACAGTTGTTTTTTCCCAAAAATTTTGGATAGTAACAAGGTTGTAAGTCGAATGGGCATTTATTCGAGCAGGTCGGTAAGTGGATGATAGGTGACTGCACTTTTAATTTTTTTTTTTTTTTTTTTTTTTTTTTTTTTTTTTTTTTTTTTTTTTTTTTTTTTTTTTTTTTTTTTTTTTTTGTGGTGACACTCGCAGCTGACCAACGTCATTTTGTAACCTGCCCTCAATCTGTTGATAACAGTTGTGAGCTGGGTGTCTTGTCGTATTCTGGCAATATTCAAACTTTTTATTCATGTTATTGGTGTTATTTTAATTACTACAGTACAATGACCTCTAAGATTATTGCTGGTGAAAAGAGGAGTTGCAAGCCTCTTGTTTTAATTCAAAAGCTAGGAGTGATCAAGCTAAATGAGAAAGGCATGTTGAATTCTGAGATAGGCCATAAGCTAGGCTTGGTTCTCCAAAGAGTTAGCACAGTAGTGAACTCAAAGAAGCTCTTGAAAGAAATTAAAAGTGCTACTCCAGTGAACTTGAAAGGGATAAGAATGTGAGACAGCCTTGTTGCTACTATGGAGAGTTTTAGTGGTCTGGGCAGATCAAACCAGCCACCATGAAGCCCCACTATCCCCCTCAGCCTTCCTTTGAAAATTACTTCTAAAAGTGTTCCTTTGTTGGTCACCATAAGCAAAGGATGAAAATATTTTGAGGTTAATACAATCTCGTATTATTTTTGCTTTGCATTTTCTTTTTTAGGTTTAATGCAGTTGCACCCTTAACCCTTTCAGGGTCCAAGGCCCAAATCTGGAGTCACACACCAGTGTCCAAGAATTTTCAAAAAAAAAATTTGTTATTTTTTCTTATGAAATCGTAGAGAATCTTTTTGTGAAGGTAATAAAACAAAAAGTACGAAATTTGGTGGAAAATTGACGAAATTATGCTCTCGCGAATTTTGATGTGTCAGCGATATTTACGAATCGGCGATTTTGCCGACTTTGACTCCCATTTTAGGCCAATTACATTATTCCAATCAACCAAATTCTTAGCTATTTCACTAGTATTACTTCTATTCTATCGATTGAGCACAAGAAATCGCCAATTCAACTGTTTCAACTACAAAATAAAGTGATCGGAAATTGTTAATTTGGCCAATTTAAACAAAGTTCAAAATATTCCAATTTCAAAATAGGGTCCAGAATGAACAATGTAGGCATTCCTGGCACTAAACTAACATTTCCTCTGTTCATTAGTTATGTTTTGAGGCTTTACAAATAAATTCCATTTGATTTTTTATTCACATAATGAATTTTTATTCACACCAAAAAATAGAAGATTTACTGTTATGCAATACTGTAATAATTGTATAAATATCATCCACCATATTTGTGAATGTATATTAGACCCACCAGCTGACGTGTGTTAGACGTGTGAGGTCGTTTGTTTACTCTTGATATCGGCAAAAATTTAACTTTCCGCTACTTTGAGCTCAGTTTCAAGCCATTTCAATGCTAAAACTAATCAAAATCATCTCTATTTCTGTAATATGTCTTCCATTCTATCAAATGAGACCAAGAAATCGCAAATACAACTATAAAAAACATAGAAAAAACACTGCAAATTTGCTTTTTTTAATCGAAAAAATCATGATTTCTTTTTTTTTTCCTCATTATACACAGTGTGCTGCAGGATCTGTTTTATGTGGTGTACACATACCATATAGATGTATTCTCTCATATCTAGGCCCAAATGTACCACTCACAGTTTATCAGAGTGAGCTGAGCTCATGGCGTAGATCTACGGTTTTGGCCCTGAACGTAAACCCCGTAGATCTACGGGACGGACCCTGAAAGGGTCGACAGGCCCTCTCCGAAACTCGTTCTCAGGGTCGGCCAAATTTAAAAAAAAAAAAAAAATTCTCTTATGGAAAGATAGAGAATCTTTTCCCGATCATAAAGACGCCAAAAGTTTGAAATTTGATGGAAAACTTACGGAATATCTCTCGCAAAGTTAGCGGTCTTGGCGATGTTTCGCATCGGCGATTTGCCCCTTTGAGCCCCATTTTCGGCCAAATTCGACTGCACTAGTCGACAAAAAACATGAATATTTCGCTAGAACTCCATTTTTTCTATCGAATGGGTGCAAGAAACCCCCATTTTTGAATTCAACTATCCAGTACAGTGGTCAGAATTTAGCAATTTTGCCAATTTCACACAAATTTCAAAAGATGCCAATTTCCGTATGGGGTCCAGAAAAAAAAAGGGAAAGACATTCCGGGCTCTAAAATGACATTTCCTCTGTTCATTAGTCACGTCTCAAGGGCCCCCCTTATATTCTTTTGCTTTTTCCCCTTTGAATTTTTATTCTCACAAAAAATATAAGATTTACTGTTATGCAGACTACTGCATTAGGTAAAAAATGGTATAAATATTTTTTGGGGCACTTGTGAAAGAATATTAGACACACCAGTTGACGTGTATTGCACGCTTGGCACGATTTGTTTACTTTTTAAATTTGGTAAAAAATCGAACATTTCTGCTACTTGGAGCTCAATTCAAGGCACCTTTCATTGTAAAACCAGTCAAAATCATCTCAATTTCTGAATATGTCCTTCCATTCTATAAAAGAGACCAAGAAAACTAGAATACCCAAAAATAAATACCATACGAAAATACACTGCAAAGTCGCTGATTTATTCCAAAAAAATGGTCAAAGTTTTTTTTTTTCTCATTATGCACTGTGTGCTGCAGGATTTTTTTTTAGACTGTCACACTGACCACATAGACCCATTCTTTCAAATGAAGGCCTACCAGCTTTCTCCCCACAGATTTGAGGGCGCTAGAATTAGGGCGTACAGTACGTCAAAAAAAACCCCGGGTCGTAAGCCATACTATACGTCCGAAACCCTCAAAGGGTTATTTAAATGATGATAAATTTTAGTTGAAACACATTTTTAGGTTTAAAAGTCACTGAAACAGTGAAAAAAAAGGGCTATTTACTCACTTTTCAGTGTGGTTTGGGGCCAACCCCTTATATTAGTGAATATACCTGTATATAATCTTAAATTTTTACAAGTAGTACATGATAAAAGCTATTATAGACCTAACTGATATTGACATGCTATATAGAAACCCCCTGGTTATGCAAAGCATTTCAGGCAACTTATGTTCATCTTGTTTTTCAGGCTACAACTCACAATAGTCGGTTAACACCCACATACCTATTTACTGCTAGGTGAACGGGGGCAGCAGGTATAAGGGAACTTGCCTTGCCAAGATCAATAGCTAGAGCTGAGGCGCTACTCGACCAAACCACAAACACCTGCAGTTGGATATAACTGCCTTTCTCATGATGTTCTGGGCTATAAATCCTAAATGCTCTAAGAAAAAACTTGATGACTACCCTCACGTTTTGTTGTTTTGTCATAGTCTTGGTAAAAATGTTTTGGATCATCATTGTTCACTGGTTTGTGGTTAATTTATGTCAGTCAGTCCCCCAGATTTGCAAATTAGGACAAAAAGCAGAGGTGTCGCATCCTGTTCTTCCTCTAGCATAACGTTGATTGTGGGTTTGATGCTGTTGATTTTTAGTAGTAGATTGGTAAAATGACTTCTTGAAGCTATAACTAAGCCATGTGATGGTACATCGGATGCTCTGATAATATTTTGTTCTGTTACTACCACACTAGACAATGGAGATACATGGGATCTTTTGTTAATAAGGGGAAAGGTAGAGACTTGGGTGATCTGCCAGCTCTTAATAAAATTGATACACTGACTAGCATGAGCCTTGTTATTTTACACTTAATTCTTGTTATAACATAGACATGGAAATGTAAAATTATGTTCAGCAGTTAAACATGGTTTCTTGTTCTTTCCAGGAGTCAATGAGGCGTATAGCAACAGGTATTTGGTCATGCAAGCCTTGCCGTCGCACAGTTGCAGGTGGTGCCTACACCTACTCAACTGTTGCAGCTGCTGGTGTACGATCCTTTATTAGGAGAAACAAGGATCTAAAGGGAAAAAAGGAGGGTTCTTAAATAAAAAGTTGAGTATTTAAATAAAATGTCAATGACGACAACTCTTTCCTTGAATAGCTTACCTTTAGGTTATTCTAGGCATGCCATTCTTGCAGTCTAGTTTAAACTTCATGTTTAGTAGCTGTAGATTACAAATAATGACAATTACTACCATTGATGGAAAAAATTCAGTTGTCTTTTAGAGTGCAGACTCATTTACATGAAATACCTTGATGCTGGCTAAGCCCCTCAAGTTCCTCAGTGCTGGTGAGGGGCAAAAGGAATTGGACCTATGCTTCCTTTACACTAAACTTTAATGCCACTTAATTCCAAGTTTCTGTATAAGCCCTATGGGTTTAGTGCTTTCCCTTCAACGTTATGCTGATCAAGGGGTTTAGTGCTTCTATTTTATTATAATAATGCGTGCAAGTACGTAGTCTCACCTGTGAGGGGACTCTTGATCCAAGGAATTTTATCTGATCTTTCAAATGAATTTGCATATTCTTTTTCTAAACTTTCCATTAAATCGTGATATTTATACATCTGTAATGTTATCCATATTGCAACTTCAAGGGAGATGGTGTGATAAAATATCCTGAGTGCAGGAATTGAAGCTGTTCTACACTTGCTACACAAGGGAAATGCCCTGATGCCAGTGAGGGGCTCTTGTTTTAAGTGGACATATGCCTCTCGTGGATAGTCTGGCACCATGGTTTATAAAATTCTGTTCCTTGGATCAAACCTGATTGTCTACCTTTTCACCTCTGTTCTTGTATATAATCATAGAACCCTTCACAGGTGGTACCTTGATGCTGGTAAATGGCTCTATCCAAGGAATTTGATTTTCCTACTATAACCTGGATCAGACCTTGTACACCTGGATCATTCCCAGGGCAGTGATGTGATCCCAGTGGTTAGCACTTACCAATAAATTTAATAATGGTTATCTTTGTAAGGAATTGAAAATAATTTTTCCTTCCCCTAATCAAACCTGATTACCTTCCACTCCATAGGTTTAGTGCAGGCCCATGAATGTGATTTTGGTACAAACAGACCATTTGGTAGACTAGCGTTTCATGCTATACATAATCATTTCAGGCCACAACATAAACATCAATTATTTCTGCAAATAAAGAGTGTGGGTTATGACATTTTTTTATTAACACAGCTGTTTCCCCCCAAGGGGGCTTGCAAAAAAAAGACAACACAGTCTTTGAGGTTGTCATTACCATTGGGAAAAGATTCTCTAAAAAACCACTTCATATTTTTTTTTTTTTTGTTTTTTTTTTTTTTTTTATTTTTTCCAAAAAATTTTTTTGACATAGCATGGCAGTTACAGAAAGGGCCTTGACATTAAATAGTTAAACCATGTATTAATATTATAAAAAGAAATATTTACATTTTAAATTTATAAATAAGTGAATTTTTTTTCAGGTATATTCACAAATGAGTTATATGATTATCACATACATAGCAGCATATTGTAAAGTACCTAGGATAACCCAAAAAAAAAGGGTCCAAAGGTGACTTATGAATTTCTTTGGGGTCCCTTCTATATTTAACAACTTACCTGGAGAGATGTTAGTTTAATTATTAGTTTTGATGAGGAGATGCTGGCAGGGTTTAGGGTAGAGTTGAGGATAGAGGGCCGGCATATATTTCAGCATATATATCACACATAATGATAACTTTCAAAACGAGAGATGCCAAGCCCATGATGATCCATTTCAAATCACTTGATCTCTCTAGGCTGGACTACTGCTGTACATTAACAACTCCATACAAAGCATGTGAAATCACAGATCTAGAGAGTGTTACAGAGATCCTTTACTGCACTTATAAGTTCAGACAAGCACCATAACACTGAACGCTTGGAAGCATCTTGACTTGTACTCGTAGGAACGCAGGAGGGAGTAATATATCATAAATCTACACTTGGAAAATCTTGGAAGGAATGGATCTCCAAATCAGCACACAGAAATCACTCCCTACGAAAGTAAAAGACTGTGCAGAGGGCGATGCAAAAATGCCGCCAATAAAAAAGTAGGGGCGCCATTTGGTACAATAAGAGAAAATCACCATAAGTGTCCGGTTGGCCCAAAAACTGTTCAACACCTCCCATCAAGCATTAGGGGAGATTGCCAATAAACCCCATGGCTGCCTTCAAGAGAGAGCTGGCAGATACCAAAAGTCGGTGCCGGATCAGCCGGGCTGTTGGCTCTTACGTCGGACCTGGGGCGTGCGGCCAGCAGTAAACAGCCTAGTTTGAATCAGGCCCTGATCCATCCTGTAGGGCCTGTCATTGGACTCGGCCGCTGGGGCGTGATCCCACGGAACAACCTCCAGGTAACATCCTACAACAATGGAGATTTTACTTTGGTTATCGTTTTTTCTATTGCTTACACGCTAAAACTTTACTTGGGAACATTGTTAATTCTACACTTTATCGCTGGCTGGCACTGAGAGCCTTTAATCGATACCTGCTTCAATAGTACGAACATATCGTAGAATCACTGCAAAGGCACATTGTCCCTCGCTCGTCATCCTCCTCCACTTTGTACTTATTGGCTCGACTTTTTTCTTCATTGAATTTTATGAGTTTCTTCTTTCTTTATCACAGGGCTTGGCCTAGTAACTTTCTTGGGCCCATGGAGGCTTATTTAAGCAATTACAATCAAAAAAAAACAATGGAATAAAAACTTAAAACAAAATATATCACATTGAACACATGGAAGTCGACCACATCGGCTTGTACACAAAAGGACATCTGGCTATACATGGAGTCTTGGAGTGAGTTGGAAACCCCGCTCAGGACTAAAAGCCTATAGACGGCTGTTGGTAGAGCCAATATTTTGAGCGTCAAAGATGAGCCCGATAGTACGATGTTGGCGTTTGGAGGATGCCGCTGTTAGTCATAGGGTCCACTTGTAGAATGTTGTGAAAGTGGTTATTTCAAATTTAGGGGGTCCTCTTTCCTGGTGGAAGATGCCACCATGTAAAAAAAAAATTACACACACAACACAACACACACACACACACCCACCACACACACACACACACACACACACACACACACACACACAACACACACACACACACACACACACACACAACGCTCCGGCATGCACATACAACAGCTTAGTGTCTAATCGACATGTGCCTATGACCAAAATGGTAACTAACACACACACACACACACTGCCTGATGTCAAAATCGACAATGTGCCTAGGACCAAATGGTAACTAATACACACACACGAGTAATTCTTACCCGCCCGGTAAACGGTCCAACGTAATTCACGTTCACTACCCCGAAGTGCCCCAACTTTTATTGAGAATTTTTTTTTTTTATAGGAAAAAGTGCATATGAACCAGGCAACCCTAATATTTTAATACGGCAAACAGTGAGAGCACACACCCATTCTCGTCATGTCCTAGGTGACTCAGGCTTATCGTGCAATGATAAATGTATAATGACAAATAAAATGTATAAATACGTTTGGGCATTAGCGGTAAAAACGTATATATACGTTTAGGATTGGGACGTATACGGGTTAAATATGGCACTCATTTTAAGTGTTTGTTGCTAATAACATGTACCATCGACTTACGACCGAGTTCGGTTCAGTAGAAACTGGTCGTAAGTCAACCTTACTACTGGAAAATCAATATCACATTTTAGTAATGACTATTTTATTTATTATTGTTTTATTTTAGTATTATCCCATTTTATACTTTACATTTATGCTGTTTAGTACTGTAATTTATACTGTAAAGGTTTAGATAAACACTGTGTACAACACAGTTTTTTAGTTTCCCAGAAATTTGGCATAGAATACAATGTTGTAAGATCGAATGTCCGTATGTCGAGGGCAGGTCGTAAGTCGATGATAGGAGTAAGCTGCACTTTTCATTTTTTTTATTTTTTTTTTTTTTTTTTTTTGTGGTGACAACTCGCAGCTGAGCCCAAACGTCATTTGTAACCTGCCCTCAATATCTGTTGAAACAGTTGTGAGCTTGGTGTCTTGTCGATTCGGCAATATTCAAAACTTTTATTCTTGTTATCTGGTGTTATTTTAATTTACTACTGTACAATGACCTCATAAGATTATGCTGGTGAAAAGAGGAGTTTGCAAGCCTCTTGTTTTAATTCACAAGCTAGGAGTGATCAAGGCTAAATTGAGAAAGGCAAGTTGAATTCCTGAAGATAGGCCATAAGCTAGGCTTGGATCTCCAAAGAGTTAAGCAACAGTAGTGAATCTCAAAGAATCGCTCTGAAAGAAATTTAAAAGTGCTACTACTCTCCAGTGAACTTGAAAGGGATAAGAATATGTGAGACAGCCTTGTGCAACTATGGAAGTTTTTAGTGGTCTGGTGCAGATCAAACCACCACCATGAAAGCCCCACTATCCCCCTCGCTACCATTGAAAATTACTTCTAAAAGTGATCCATTGTTGTCACCCATAAGCAAAGGATGCAAATATTTTGAGGTTAATACAATCTCGTATTAGTTTTTGCTTTGGCATTTTCTTTTTAGGTTTAATGTCAGTTGCAAATAACACACCCTTAACCCTTTCAGGGTCCAAGGCCCAAATCAGTAGTCACACACCAGTGGTCCCAAGAAATTTTCAAAAAAAAAAATATTGATATTTTTTCTATGAAATCGTGAGAGAAATCTTTTTGTGAAGGTCATAAAGACAAAAAGTACGAAATTATGGTGGAAAATAGGACGAAATTATGCTCTTACTGCGAAAATGATGTGTCAGCGATATTTCGAATCGGATACGCTATTTTGCCGACTATTGACGTCCCATTTTAGGCCAATTACATTATACCAATCAACCAAATTCCTTAGCTATTTTCACAAGTATTACCTTTTTTTTTCTATTCTAATCGATTGAGCACAAGAAATCGCGCAATTCAACTGTTTCAAACTACAAAATAAAGTGATCTGAAATTGTTAAATGTGGCCAATTAACACTAAGTCAAAATATTCCATTTCAAAATAGGGTCCAGAATGAACAATGTAGTCATTCCTTGCACTAAACTAACATATTCCACT